GCTCTCATTGAAGGTAAGCTTCTTCAGATTCAATTTCAATTTGAGTAGATCTTGGGGAATAGAAGGATTATTGAAGGGGAGGGGCTAGGATTTCATCCTTGGGAGAATCCCGTGGTAGAGAAGTATCGCTCAGCGCCGGCTTTGAGTAGATCTTGGGGAATAGAAGGATTAGTGAAGGGGAGGGGCAAGGATTTCATCCTTGGGAGAATCCCGTGGTAGAGAAGTTTTTCGAAAGGTACTGTGATTGTTGTTTAGGAAGACCAAGAACTTCGGGAATTGAAGAAGAAAATCAAAAAGGATCGTAAGAAAGAGAAGAAGGAAAAGAAGAAGGCTAAAAAGGAAAAGAAGAAATTGAAGAAACTCATGGAAAATGCTGACCGCGATGTGAATGCCGATTGGAAGGATCAGTCGAAGTTTTTGGATAAGTTGGTCAAAGTGAGTGCTAAAAGGGTTTTCCCTTAGTACTCCAGAATGTTGTCTTGTTTGATTGCTCAGAATAATCCTTGTGATTTCTTGTTCAGGAAGAGGAGCTGTACGGACAAAATTCTCATTTCAACTTTGGCAAGAAAGCTGAAGCACCAGAGGAGCCTACACACAATCCTCGCCCCGACTTCGAAAAGGTATTTTTGATCGAGTATTGGAAAGGTCAAGATCTGTCGTTTATGAGTTGTCTAGGCTGACTGGCGTGATATCGAAATATGGAAGGAGATCCGAGAACGTGAAAAAGCCGAACAAGCGCCAAAGAAAGTTGATTGGAAGCCCGAAGAGCACTATGTTTCTAGTCGATATCGCTGAATTTCTATTTTTATGTATAGATGTTTTCCAATTGTTGTTTGTCAGTTAACATGCCTTATTGCTGACTTTGCATGGCGGCGGTGCGGCCCTCTCGGGCTTACGAGGGGGGGGGGGGAAGTGGAAGGAGCCCCAGATCGATAGTTTCTCTACTACTAGTTTCTCTTCGACTTTTCGATCTCGTGTAGACTACTGTCAAGTGTAAACTGAGCTCGGTTTATTGCAACCTTTACATTGTTTTACAGTTCTCCACAAAATGCGTCGGTAATGATCCATTTGAGCCGGCGAAATGCCCCCGCCACGCCGTACTGCGCTGCGCCATACAATCAAGGGAGCAGTCGCACAGCAAGGGTGGTTTCTATGAGAAACTAGGTGAATCATTTCCTTCTGTTGTGAATAGGGCTTGACCTCCTCAAAGACGCTGATACTAAATTGAAACTCATTATTGTCATTGAATGCCGACAACGATTTGTTGCACCTCAGAGGGATCCTATCGATTGCCTTGCTCATCTTATAAAACAGAGTCGCCAATGGATGTAATTGGTGAGGTGGCGAAACCTGGCAAAAAATTGCAAATTTTCGTCTGAACGTCGACCCTTAGCGCTGCTTTCGTAAATCGGCGCGAACAGCACGAATGTGCTCGTCTTACGGGTTTCTGGCAAATCTTTTTCTTATTTCTTCACAGACGGCTGGTTCCTTTGAGTCCCATGTACAGGTAGCGCACCCACACATAATCGTCGCATGGATACCAGTAATTCTTTATAATTTGATCTGCTATTGAATTTCAATCTAGTGCTGGCAGTAGCCAATGCTAGGCTGCCTTTCACCATTCCGTTCAGGCTTTTTAGAAGCGTTGATAAGGCGTTGTTCACAGTCTGCGGTCCAGGCGTTTCTCTGCGAACGCAGGCAGTCGACGAAAAAGCTTTCGATACGGTAGTCCCTGTAGTTGGCAAGAGAGTCTGGCAAGTTGGACAGAAAGATGTTTTGATAACGAAATCCACGCGCGCGTTTCCCAAATCGACCGCGACGTTTTTCGCCTTCGACGAAACGCTAGCTCGATCGCCGTGGCGTTTTTCGCCAGCGAAATCGATACACATCTATTGCTTTTCGCCCAACCGCCGAACCGCGGCGTCGGCGAAACTAGTGACGGTAACAATTCTCCGATCGAGGATTTTGCTATGTCTCGCCAACGCTGTTTCGTCAGCGGGGGATCGCCAGACTTGTGAAACAACGCCTTAGCCCTCTCGGCCGTCTGCAATTACTACAATCGCTGCGACTTCCGGCAGCAGAACAATTCAGGAAAATGCACAGGCAGGCAGTAGGCACGCCTCCTAAATTCCACCCAGGCGGCTGTTGCTCGTGGTAGCATAGGTGGCTCACAGCTCACTTGAGCAAACGATTTTCCCGTGTGCTGAAAACCCAAGAAACCTGTGCGGATGGGTTATTTTGTGTATAAACATGTGTGTTCGATCTTTATTGAATTGATCTAATAAATAATAACTAAAGCGAGCAGCGGTTCTGTTTTTCGTACGATCTTGCAGTATCGACTTCTATCAGCCTCAGGCTAAGCAGGTATCAGTGGCTCTGAAGTCATCCATACGGCTGGCTCAGATACTAGCTTTCACCTAGGCAACCAACCTACGTTCCGAGATTGGCCCATCTGTACCAGTCTGATGATTCGACAAAAGGGATTATGTTGTTCTTGCTCTCCATCCTGTGGGCCGAGTACCAATTTAATATCCTTGTGAAGCCGTTTTTAAAATGGAGGTTTCCGAAGATAGGCCTAACTCAAAAACGGATTCAGTCAATCGAGCTATAGAGTCGGGCCCTGCGAATGAGAGAGAGGGACGTGGATGGCTGTGCGCTAAGGCACCATTCTCCACCAGCTGTTGTGGGCTCAGGAAAGCATCAATCGGTGGAAAAGGCACCGTAGATGGGCTTCAACGCACGGCCCCACTCGTTTGTAGGGATCACGACTACAATGTATTGACAAATTGTGGCAAAACCTAAACGTAGATAAGGCAGAAGACTGCCTCGGTGATGTATTAGTTAACACGCCGGACCGGTAAGGGTGAGGTTCACGTGGGAGTCCCGGCTGGGGCCACGGACTTCACCTAAAACTCAACATTCTTATGACGTCTAAGGCAAAGCTGAGATGGTAAGAACGGATCTGGTGGCCTGATGGATGTCGCACTCGCTCGGTCAGTGTGAGATGCCGGTTTGAGTCCCGTGTAGGGTCTGACTTTTGACTATAACTCAGCATTCCTGTGATAATTTTCGGAGTGCGAACTGCGGCGTTAAGCATTAGCTGTCATACTAGAACAGTCTAGAACTAATCTCTCAGACGATCCTCCCACAATTTGAGTAGATCTTGGGGAATAGAAGGATTATTGAAGGGGAGGGGCTAGGATTTCATCCTTGGGAGAATCCCGTGGTAGAGAAGTATCGCTCAGCGCCGGCTTTGAGTAGATCTTGGGGAATAGAAGGATTAGTGAAGGGGAGGGGCTAGGATTTCATCCTTGGGAGAATCCCGTGGTAGAGAAGTATCGCTCAGCGCCGGCACCTGAACATTCCGCAGCTTCAATCAAAAGTGATAAAACAATCTTTATTCCACGAACGACAACATTCCAACATAGTCCACCATTAAAAGGTAATCATAATAAGTACTATATTGCTCACAAGTATAACCTCAATGGCCATAACATCTCAATGCACTTTCAGCAATCTTAGACCACAAGAAAGAAGTCATTCGCTGTAAGTTTTCGATGATCCCAATCGGAACAAATGCAAGAAGACTTGAAAGAAGCCTGATAGTGAGTTCTAAACAGGATGGAATCGGCCAATAACGCACGAAAGCCCACTCGCAGTACACCTTACCTTAGTCCTTGGTCCACTCTCACTAACAAAATCGAGTTAGCAAGCATCGAGTAATGTTGAAAACAGGAGGAGATATATTTAATTACAAGCAAAATGTGAAGATAAATGACCGAATAATTGGGTGTAGTTCAGCTGATCCATGCAATGCGACGCAGTGTACATGCAGTCACGTGCGCGTCATTCGCACCAGGACCTTCGGAAGTAGATATATGCAAAGTGCTACTTTATGCAAAGCCTGCTACTTCAGCAGTGCCTCCAGTAGCTTCTGAGCTCCCCGGACGCGTTCTGCATATTGGGCAGTCTTTACTATTGAACAAATGCGTTGATATATGAAGCGAACAAGTGTTTAAACCTAGCCGAAGGTGCAACGCGGCCCGCGGCGCTTCCATGTCGCTTAGCCAAGATACAGTACTTATCGCTGAAATCAGTCGGGGCATGTCAGCAAGAGACCAGTTTTGGCGTAGCGCCAGCCCCTTTTCTACCACTCAGAGAGCCTGAAGCCCCAACAATCGAAGGAAAACTGGCTGGCGCGCGTCAAAACCCTTGTTTCGACTCACTTTAATGATAATCACTGTACATGCTCAACAGACCAGGATCCCCCGGCCTAGATTCGCCAAGCAGAACATAGTGCGCTAGCGGCACCCGTCAACTACTTTTACACCGCAATCAGATGTGAAAGGAACGAAGCAACCAGTTATAGTTATCCCCCCCCCCTCATAAGACCTAGCCGTGCAGGAGGTACCAAATAGAACTACCCTGTATTACAGTAGGAACAACCTGATGAAAAGCTGGCAGAAACTTTCACATAAAGGCCAGAAAGACAGTGGAAAAACATGGCCACTCAAGCGGATAACCTAGGTAACATTTCTGAGAATATTTGAGACAATTCAGAAAAACAGTACCAATTTAGGCGTCAACTAGCCATTTAATACTAGAAAAGAAAAAGCTGAACAGTTGCATATTCATAACAGTAACTCATCGCTGGACGATTAGCTAGCGAGCCCCTGTTAGAGACGTTGAGCACACCGACTACTAGGAGGCGGAGCATCATCTCAAGCGTCACTAGTGGAAGGGCGCCGAGCCGCATCTTTGGCGCGGCCATATAAGAAGGGCGAACGCACTTCTATCAACAATGCATCGAAATGTTGCCCCCCCCCCCCGCTACCGAGCCTACGCGCCGGCTCTTAAGCGTGACTACAGGATACTCAATTACTGTACATTGGAAAATCTAAATGCATGTTGATTCCCTTTTCTGATGGGAATCTTTTATTACTTTCACCACGTAAAACCTAGGCCAGTAATTGAATAGCTCGTATTACAATCGCTAAGAATAGATTCTTATTGATAAACAATCTGTAATCAACACTAGGAATGCGCCCTACCACTCGCCTCCCAGTCAAAATTGCGGACATGATTGAATGCGTAGGAGTGCGCAGGTATATGGAAATCTGCTTGATTTCACAGCCGCTGCGTGAGATCTATCAATTCAGATCTATACCATAGAAGATATTCACTCTATTCTAAGGAAAAAGAGGGCTTCTAAGTACGTGAACTGCTTTTATGGCTGCGATGGCTGTGAAGGTTTAGACGGAAGAGGGGCAGGGACGATCATATTCAAAAATACGCAGCAAGGGGAAACAAAGGGGTGTCGTATTTCGTTTGGTGAAGGGGACGGGGCTTTCATAGGAGGTGCATTTGCTTTAAGAGAAATGTTTCCGCTATCTGACTTCTCTTAGTTTCTTTTTGTTTCCACTGGGGAGATGGGGAGGGGAGGGTGGAGTCACCAAAGGAAGAAA